TATATAACAGAAATTAAAATCAGAATATATCACATTTACCTCTGAAAGACCCTATTCATATTCTGGAGAAATAGGTTTTTAAAAAAATAGAAGACACTGAAAAATAAGTTATAATGCAAGTGGCTTACCAAAGTTAATGTTATTATTTGCTTCATGTTTTATCACAGCATTCTAGACTTGTTTATATTTTTCTTAGTTTATATTTTATACAGGCTTAACATTTTTAAAAAATGAAAGTGAGTATCTACACTAATAAAAAACAAAGATGCTAATTGACCGTACCTTTGCTATCCCTCAAGCCATGCCCACCAGCCAATCAGAGCGACTATATGCAAATTAACCCAACCAAGATGGCGGCCAGCAGCCATGGAACTGGAGCAAGCAGGAGGCTTGGTTGCCTGGGCGATGGAGGAAGCCAAGCTTCCCGCATGCCCTGAGCCGACTGTGGCCTCCGCTCATGGCAACAAAGTTTCAATTATAGAAGATAAACAACCTCCAGATACCTGCTTCCATCCAGCCTCCACTGGGAGCTTGGGTGTGGGGGCCGTGGCCAGCCTGCAAACAGCCATGAGCCCCTCACTCAGGATGGCCTCACCCTCATGGGGTGAGGGTCCCCACTGGGGGGCTTGGCAAGCCTGCAAACAGCCCTCAGCCCCTCACCCAGGCTGGCCACACCCTCATGGGGTGAGGGTCCCCACTGGGGGGCTTAGCCAGCCTGAAAACGGCCCTCAGCCTCTCACCCAGGATGGCCAGGCACCCCAGTGGGGACTCCCACACTGAAGGGGCTGTGTCCAGCCTGCAAACAGCCATCAGCCCCTCACCCAGGCTGGCCAGGCACTCCTATATAATAAAAGGGTAATATGCAAATTGACCCTAACAGCACAACGACTGGGAATGACTGATCACTGACACACACTGACCACCAGGGGACAGATGCTCAATGCAGGAGCTGCCCCCTGGTGGTCAGTGAGCTCCCACAGGGGGAGCTCTGCTCAGCCACAAGCCAGGCTGACTGCTGCCAGTACAGTGGTGGTGGTGAGAGCCTCTCCCGCCTCCTCAGCAGCACTAAGGATGTCCAACTGCAGCTTAGGCCTGCTCCCTGCTGGCAAGTGGATGTCTCCCGAGGGCTGCAGGGCTGCCAGAGGGATGTCTGACTGCCAGCTTAGGCCCAATACCCCAGGGAGCAGGCCTAAGCCAGCAGGTGGTCATCCCCCGAGGGGTCCCAGACTGCGAGAGGGCACAGGCCAAGCTGAGGGCCCCCCTCCCCAACCCAAGTGCACACATTTTTGTGAACTGGGCCTCTAGTATTTAATAAATATTTTAACCAAGTTTACCAGTGGGGGGGAAAAATTTGTTGTGGAGTAAAAAGAAAAGGAAAAGATAAATTCCTAGAATTTCAAAATACATTAAAAATAGGCCTATTATGAACTTTCTTAATATTCCCATAATGAATATATTTTATAATAGGAACAGAAGTTTTTACCTACTGTATTTATACTGAATTCTAATCTGTTCAAATTCAGTATGAATAAAAGATACCTTAACACCTTCAGATGTTTTAAATGTTTGGGATCAGAAAAGGTTTTAATGTATGAAAATATAATTTTATCTCAAGATACTTGAATGAAGTATAAATAGAAAAACTGGAAATGTTCAGCCCAATCCTGGGGTGGTAATTACCTTGTTATACTGGAGAGGTTGTTGATGTCTCTAGAAAGTCTCACTTAAATCGATGAAGCAGATGGATGGATGGATGGGTGGATAGATGGTAAGGGGAGTTGCTTTATCTAAGATTCTATTAAAAAAAATAACAGGAGAGAAACCAAGTTGGCAGCATAGGTAAACACCTGAAATTGCTGTCCCGCACAACCACTTCAAAAATACAACTAAAAGACAAAATGGACATCATCCAGAACCACAGGAGAGCTGGCTGAGTGGAAATTCTACAACTAGAAGGAAAGAGAAAAGCACACTGAGACTCAGAGGAGGTGCAGTGTGGAAGTAAAGAGCAGAGGCATGGAGGCACATGCGGAGAGGGCTGGCAACTAAGGATGTGGCTATCTTTTTCAATTGGGAGGGAGACACAAGCTCCTAACTGCTCTGAATGCCACTTCCTGGCAAGTCTCTGGGGACCCAGACTCATACGGGGAGAAACTGGATTGTCTGGCATCAGGCAGAACTTGAGGGCGGCTTTCTCTCAGAGGTGCTTGCAGCGATTACCAGGACACTGAGAACCGGGATCTCTTAGGGCAGGGCTGGCGATCAGCCATAGCTGTTTGCTCTGCCCTGTTGATTCCCTGAGACCCCGCCCCACCCAAGCTGTGCACAGAGGCTTTTGCATATGAATGCCCTGGCTCTTTGCAATCTAAAATTGCCTAACTAACTGCAGGTGGGTCAGAGAGACCCAGAACATCCAAAAGAAGCCCTAAGGCCCCACAGCAGCTTTCATTGCTTCACAGCTGGGCCTCATCCGGGCACCTTCAAACTCCAAACAAAGAAGATGAATCTGCAGATCTCTCCATAGCTTCTGTTGGGTAGCCTCAGGCAGAGGCTAAATTAGCACCTCCTTAGAGATCCAAGAGCCAGTGTATCCAGTGGTCAGAGTGGACCATCCAGATTACAACTCCTCAGATTCATAAGGGACACACTCAGGGGGCAGATTCAGTGAGCACCAAAGCCCCACTGAAGCAAGTTTTGCCCCATAAGGGTGTCTCCAGCAAAGAAGTTCTCCCACCATAGACACAGCTGATTCTCACAGCCAATTGGCCTGGAGCTCAATTCCTCCCAGTGATACCTACAGCAACCAAGGCTTAACTACAACAAGACTGTGCACAAAGCTCACAAAGGGGTGTACCAAGAGTGTCCACCTCAGGTAATTGGGGAGGCTGAGCCACTGGGCCCTATAGGACACCTAGCACACAAAGTCACTCTACCAACACAGGGAAGCAGCCAAAATGCAGAGACAAAGAAACAGATCACAAATGACAGAAATGGAGGGAAGCAAACTACTGGAGATAGAGTTCAAAACCACGGTTATAAGGTTTTTCAAGGATTTTCCAGAAACCGCTGATAAATTTAGTGAGATCTTCCATAAATCTAGTGAGACTGCCGATAAATTTAGTAAGACCCTCAATAAGTCTAGTGAGACCCTTGAAAATATGAAAAAGGACCAACTAGAAATTAAGCATACACTGCCTGAAATAAAAAGAATAATATACAGAGATCCAACAGCAAGACTAGAGGATCCCAAGAATCAAGTCAAAGATTTGAAATATGAAGAAGCAAATAACACCCAACCGGAAAAACAAAAAGAAAAAAGAATCCAAAAATATGAAGATAGTGTAAGGAGCCTTTGGGACAACTTCAAGCGTACCAACATCTGAATTATGGGGGTTCCAGAAGAAGAGAGAGAGCAAGATATTGAAAACCTATTTGAAGAAATAATGACAGAAAACTTCCCCTACCGGGTGAAAGAAATAGACTTACAAGTCCAGGAAGTGCAGAGAACCCCAAACAAAAGGAACCCAAAGAGGACCACACCAAGACATATCATAATTAAAATGCCAAGGGCAAAAGACAAAGAGAGAATCTTAAAAGCAGCAAGAGAAAAACAGTCAGTTACCTACAAGGGAGTCAGCTGATTTCTCATTAGAAACTATGCAGGCCAGAAGGGATTGGCAAGAAATATTCAAAGTGATGAATAGCAAGAACCTACAACCAAGATTACTTTATTCAGCAAAGCTATCATTCAGAATTGAAGGTCAGATAAAGAGCTTCACTGATAAGAAAAAGCTAAAGGAGTTCATCACCACCAAACCAGTATTATATGAAATGCTGAAAGGTATTCTTGAAGAAGAGGAAGAAGAAAAAAAGGTAAAGATACAAATTATGAACAACAAATATGCATCTATCAACAAGTGAATCTAAGAATCAAGTGAATAAATAATCTGATGAACAGAATGAACTGGTGATTATAATAGAATCAGGGACATAGAAAGGGAGTGGACTGACAATTCTCAGGGGGGAAGGGATGTGGGGGGTGCGTGAAGAGACTGGACAAAAATTGTACACCTATGGATGAGGACAGTGGGGGGGTGGGTAAGGGCAGAGGGTAGGGTGGGAACTGGGTGGAGGGGAGCTATGGAGGGAAAATAGAGGAACAACTGTAATAATCTGAACAATAAAGATTTAATTAAAAAAACCCCAAAGATCTGCATTAATGTAGATTGCTTTGTTATACACTAAAACTTATTTATTTTAAAAGCTTCATCATATTGATGACAAAAAGGCTATTTGCCCTTTGGAAATAGCCAATAGGTCTTAGTTATGAAGGGAACTTCATTATCTTTAACATGGAAGCTTTTGGTGGCAAACATAATCCAAAGTAGTGGATATTGTAATAATTTTGACATTGAGATATATTTACTTCTTACAATTTGAATATGGATGATAATCTCATGGTGGGATTTTATTCAAACAAAATAAGATTCCTCCATGAGAAGCTTAAAAAACCCACAAAAAAAATTATGCTCTTTGCTTGAGAGATAGGGTCAAAATTTCCCTTCTCATAGTTTCTAATCTTTTAATCATAGTAATAAATTATTAAAGGAAAATAAGTGGAAAAGAAGCAAGCCATTTCCAGGGGATTGGTGAATTTTGGATTTCAAAGTAAAGGGAGTCAGTTTCCATACTGGAGAAATTTTTTTCTAGTTTCTCTTTTCAATTTCAAATTACGTCAAGCAAAACAGAGTATCTTTTAACCAGTCAATTGATAACTTTGTTTTTTTTTATTATTCTTAGAGAAATGGGAGGTATATTACAGCTTTTTTGTATGAATGGATAAAAATTATGGTATTTATAAGTTCCAGATTTATTAGAATTTTAAGTTTCTTAAACACCTAACTTATTATGATATTAAAATTTTGTATCAGTTAATATTCAGTTGTATTTTTTCATAATTTGGAGTTACAAAATCACTGTATTCTTTCTTTCTTTGTTAGATACACACAAGTCCATGTTTTTATCAGTCTTCTGAGAAGAGCCAGCTTTTACCATTGAAGACAAATCTATGGCACTGGTTGAACCCTGGAGATAGTTTTTCTTTGTTTGTTGACAAATACATTTTCCGTGTTTTCTCTACGTATTCTGAAACAGAACTGGACTGTACTTTCAGGTAAGATTGCCTGATGAAATGACATCAGGTAATGGTATTTGTAACCTAATTCCTCAGCCATCCGCAAATGCCTCAGGAGAAACTATTCTAGTATTAAACTGTATTGGCAATATAGGGGTTACATGGTGTGTGTGTGTGTGTGTGTGTGTGTGTGTGTGTGTTTCCAGAAAACATTTGGAAACTGATGCCTCAATAGTGATTGTTCTCATATGTGCTGTCTTTTACCATTGTGTTCAGAATGTATTTTCCATCTAACAGTAACCAGGATAGTTAATTTGAAACTCACTATATTTTCTTAATCTTTTTGTTCAATTTAAAGTTTTTATTTTATTATGTTTGTTGTTGAAAGTATTACAGATGTCCCCCTTTTTCTTTATTAAGATATTAATCTTTGACTTAGACTAAAGTTGCATAACTTTTATTTCTTATAAAAATAACAGAAAATATAGAATAGGGAAACTGAGGAAATGAGGTATTATAATAAACATCTGGTGTAAAATTAAATTATAGAATACATAAACTGGCTCTATAAAAGTAGAATTATATACTCACTTCAAAAATCAGAAAAATGCTGTACATTTCTATTTTAAGCAAAGTATGGCCATTGCTTGATAACTCATATACATTATTATATGTCAATTTTAATTTTTATGTCTATTCAAATTAGCTTGTCCCCTTGGTGTGAAAGATCAGTGTTGTGCCTTCAGTCAGATTGTGAATTTTAAATTTTTTTGGTATTGATAAAACTGAAAATAGAACCCACTTTAAGAACACTCTATTTTTTCAGGCTATTATGAAGAGTATTATCTTGTATGTTATTGCTATCAAGCCAAATGTGTGGAAAGAGGTAGTAAATATTTTTTATATGTTTTGGTAATTATGTGCTTAATTTAGGGTAACCAAATTAATTGTGTTTTTATATTAAAAATTAAATGTTCTGGTGTTAGTCTGCTCTTGTAAAATTTCCTTCAGGGTGTTGATTTCACTCTTAGCTGTTTTTCCATTTGTGATTTGGAGTTTTCAAATATTCCCATCTATATATATAAAAGGGTAATATGCAAAGTGTCCCCTTGGGAGTTTGCCCAGGAGACCGGTAGTCCAATTGCTCGCTGTGATGTGCACGGACTACCAGGGGGCGGCACGAAATGAAGTAAGGGCCTGGCTGGCAGCCGGGGAAGGAAGGCCCGGGCCGGCAGCCAGAGGCCCCATTTGGCCCTGATCGCAGGCCAGACCTAGGGACCCTACCTGTGCAGGAATTTCGTGCACTGGGCCTCTAGTAATGATATAATGATTTCTGATGTGCAGTAATGATTTTCATTTTTTCACTTTGATCCCCATTATGTAGTAACAATAGTTGAAGACCATTTGCTTAAAGTTAATTATAATTTCTATTTTTAATTAAAAGTATTTATCATATATGCATCATTCAGTATATGATTCAAAGCATATAGCCCTCCCTTTTGAGCCTTTTGGCAATATTTGATTCATTTCAGAATGTTTTTGATTTCATTGGTTAAACATTTAACATTTGAACAGGCAGAATAAAGGTGAACCTAAAATACTGAATACTTTCTCAAAAGGGGCTATGTCCAGAAGCAACCATAGACAGTATGTAAACAGACATCCATGGCTATGTTTCAGTAGCACTTTGTTTACAAAAACAGGTAGCAGGTTGGATTTGGACTAAGTGTTGCAGTTTGCTGATTCCTGTATTAGAGTAAAAGCTAAGTTGCTTAAAAAATGACCTCCAAATGCAGTGCTTAAACAAGATAGAACATTTTTTCTGTCACACAATGGTCCAGAGTTTTAGGCGTGCTCTCCTTCATAATGTAATTCATGTTCTCCAGCTAAGGGAGAAACTCTGTCATCCTCAATATATATCTTTTAAATTAGTTTCGTTGTTGGTGTTGCCAGTTGGTAAGGTAAGAAGGAAATGAGGAAGAGAATCCAGGGCAGTGTCTTGCACATATCATTTCCATTTACACCCCTCCTTCCCCAAATTAGGCACATGGCTAAAAAGAGTTACAAGGAAAGCTGAAAAATGTGGTCTCCAGCGAGGTGGACAGACATTGTTACAGATGCTTACTGACCAGTGCCATTCCAACTTTGCTGCCTGTTATGCTAGTAACATCCACTTAGCCTCTGATGTTTAATGCTAACCACAGGGCCTGCGCAATTCTAGAATCCTGTCATCTCCATTGATACTACGGAGCCCTGTTTTTTGGCAGCCTCCCCTACCACCAAAACTGACCTGTAGAGGCAGCTACCATTGAGCTACTCAGCACTGCCGCACTAGTGTATACCTTATTGCTTAGTGTTCTGGGTCCTTCCAGGGAACATAGCCAGCTGGTGGATTCTCTAGTCTTATGTAAGAAATCCATTTTAGCATGCCTCTTTGGGATAGCATTCAACTGTCTGTATTAGTCCCACTCCTGCACCCCTAGCCCCTGGAAGCCACTGACCTGATTTCTGTCCCTATAGCTTTACCTCTTCAGAATGTCATATAAATAGCTCATTTGACTTAGCAAAATTCTTTGAGATGCATTCATGTTTTGTACATACCAGCATTTCATCCCTTTTTATTTCTGAGTAGCATTTCTATTTCCATTTTCAAAAAGATAAATTTGTTGGATCATCTCTATGCATACATAAATGATAATGATGCAACGACTTTGGATGATCTTATCACATTGCAGCAAGTAGGAAGTAATTGGTTCTACTAGTATGTTCCACAGGTGACCATGTGTCGGAACATTTAGCTTTCAGTCAGGCTGCATGTTTGGGGGGATTTCACAAGTGGCTGTACTGGCCAGAACCCCAGTAACAGTTATAGGATTTTATTTATTTTTTCTCCAAGGGCCTAACTAACTTAGCTGATATATTTGCAATTTGCATTTTCTCTTTGGATTCTGCGTGGTGATCTTAACTTTTATGGACTATCTGGACAAATACTAAATAAGTAAGTAGCTCTTAAGCCTTGAGAGAGATGACTGATCCCCATCTGATAAATAGTTGTGGTTTTTAGGCCCAGGATTTGGAAAGATTAATGTATTTTATGGTGATCCTATGGTCAGAAGACAAAGAACATGTTCTAGTTTAGATATTTTATTCTATTATACTATAACCTGCTTTTATGTTCTTCTAAGTCTGAGAAAAGTAGCATAACCCATTATTTAAATGTTCTTGGGAGACTTACATTTATAATAACAAATAATAGCAGTTTTAATTCAAATGGTAAATAAATGATTTTGATTTTATTTTCTAGAAATAGTCAAATGCTTGATGAAGATGATATATTGAATGAAATACCAGAATCATCCTTGGTTAATTTGCCTGATAAGACAACTGGTGCTCCACAGCTGGAAGGAAGCACAGGAATAGCGACGACCCAGACTTCTACCACAAATAGTGTGGTGAGAAATTTAAGATCTCATCCATTTATAACCTGTCCCTTAAATTATTTTGAGGAGAGAAAAGACAACTGAAATTAGGCACAACACTTCACCTAGTAGAGATCATGAATGTCTTTGAGAAAATTTGACTAATTCAGTCCATAATTGCAGATGTTTTTTTTTATGGTAGCTTTTTACAAAGTAAAAACAATTACAACTTCATTAAGGGAGCATGCTTATTTTTGGTAATTAATAAGATAGGTGATTTTTTTAGTCTTTCGCAGGTGAATGCTCAGGCATCAGTAAGCAGCAGTCCAACCCCGCCCAGAGGAAGAGAATCCTTCCAGCATGGATGTTAACAGATCTGGGTGATCAAAACCTCCCAGCACCAGTGACCAGTGAAAGTAGGTTTTGTTTCAAGCAAACATTAAGCAGAATTGGAAAGTTTTTATGAACAAATGAAGAGGTGAATAACATAGCTTAACATTTTTTTTAGATGTGTACATGAAATCTAATTTAAAACACTAGCTATTATGCTATTTATCAAACATCCTGTTAATTATTTTTTGATTTAACATGTGCTAGACTTACCATATTGACAGATTTTTAAACAAACCTGTGCTGTCATGTCTAAGATAAAAGGCCAGCACAGTACGGGCTTTATAAATTAACTAGAGACCCGGTGCACAAAAATTTGTGCACTCGGGGGGGAGGGGGGTCCCTCAGCCCGGCCTGTGCCCTCTCGCAGTCTGGGACCCCTCGGGAGATAACAACCTGCTGGCTTAGGCCTGCTCCCGGGTGGCAGAGGGCAGGCCTAATCCCTAGGTGCAGCCCCTGGTCGGGCTCAGAGCAGGGCCGATTGGGGAGTTGGGGCGCCGCCCCCTGTCATGCACAGAGCAGGGCGGATCGGGAGGTTGCGATGCCACCCTCAGTCACGCTCAGGGTAGGGCTGATTGGGGGGTTGGGGCACCGCCCCCTGTCACACACAGAGCAGGGCGGATCAGGGGGTTGGGGCGCCGCCCTCTATCACCCACAGAGCAGGGCCGATCAGAGGGTTGGGGCGCCGCCACTGTCACACTCAGGGCAGGGCCGATGGGGAGGTTATGGCTCTACCCCATCACACACAGAGCAGGGCCCGTGGGGGGGGGAAAGGGGGTTGGGGCACCGCCCTCTATCACCTACAGAGCAGGGTCGATCAGGGGGTTGGGGCGCCGCCACTCTCACACTCAGGGCAGGGCCTATGGGGAGGTTATGGCTCTACCCCGTCACACACAGAGCAGGGCCCGTGGGGTGGGGGGGTTGGGGCGCCACACCCTGTCACACACAGAGCCGCAGGGCGATCAGGGGGTTGGGGCGCCGCCACTGTCACACTCAGGGCAGGGCCTATGGGGAGGTTATGGCTCTACCCCGTCACACACAGAGCAGGGCCCGTGGGGTGGGGGGGTTGGGGCGCCACACCCTGTCACACACAGAGCCGCAGGGCGATCAGGGGGTTGGGGAGCTCCCCCCATCAGGCACAGAGCAGGGCCGATCAGGGGGTTGGGGCGCCTTCCCCTGTCAGGAACAGAGCAGGGCAGATAGGGAGGTTGTGGCCTCGCCCCCTGTCACACACAGAGCTGCAGGGCGATCAGGGGGTTTGGGCGCTGCCCCGTCATGCTGATCCCGGTGCCGGGAGGCCTCGCGGCTCCGCTGATCCCGGTGCTGGGAGGCATATTACCCTTTTACTATATAGGATAGAGGCCTGGTGCACGTGTGGGGGCCAGCTGGTTTGCCCTGAAGGGTGTCCTGGATCAGGGTGGGGGTCCCCACTGGGGTGCCTGGCTAGCCTGGGAGAGGGGATGATGGCTGTTTGCAGCTGGTCACACACCCTTCAGGGTGGGGTCCCCACTGGGGTGCCTGGCCAGTCTGGGTGAGGGGCTGAGGGCTGTTTTCAGGCTGGGACTGAAGCTCCCAACTGCTCCTTTTTTTCTTTCTTTTTTAAAATTCTGGGCCAGCTTTAGCTCTGAGGCTCCAGCTCTGAGGCCTCTGCTGCTGAAAAAAGGTATCTGGTTTGTTTCAGTTCTATAATTGAAACTCTGTATCACTTCCAGCTCTGAGATCCCAGCTCGCTGAAAGCAGGTTTCTGGGGTTTTGTTTAGCTTCTATATTTGTTACAATGTTTTTTAAACTGCAAGCTCAGAGGCTGGCAAGGCAGACGGGGAACGTTGGTTTCCTCCGTCACTGAAGCAATCAAGCCTCATGTTAGTTTCAAGCTGCCTGGCTGCCGGCCGCCATCTTGGCTGGCAGTTAATTTGCATATTGCCCTGATTAGCCAATGGGAAGGGTAGCGGTCGTATGCCAATTACCATGTTTCTCTTTTATTAGATAGGATATAATTTTTAAAAAGTGCTAGGCACACGATGTTATGTGCTGGAGGATTTAAAGAAGAGGTGACCTCTGTCCTAGTATAGCTTACTGTCCTGGCAGATATTACAATGATTTATGTCATCTGCTGGGTATTCCCATTGATTTAAGATTATTAAAAACGTTTCTGCATTGTCTTATTTAGTCAACATTTTATTTGCAACTTTTCAGTCATCTCAGGTTCAGTTTCTTTTGACTGCTTGTTTTCTTCATTTTCCTTTTATTCTCATCTAGTGACTTTCTGTTGGAAATTGGAAATTATAAATGATGTAGAGCTTTTGAGTTTTATGTTCCTCCGAATACATATTTTTGTTCTAATAGACAATTAATTTGGTCTGATAGGCTATTTTCTTTGAATAGGCAGTTAATTCAAGCCCTAAATCCTGTTTTCCCCTGTGTGGACAGCAGTTACATCTCTGCTTAGTTCTCTCAGCTTCCAGCTGCTGCTTCCCCCAGGCCATGTAGTGAGCTATGGGTTGATTCTATGCATTGATTTTGGTTCTTGGTTCTCTGTGAGTTTCTTCCTTTTAGGATTTTATCCCTAGCTTTCTACCTGCTCCACAAGCCTCTAACTCTGTCCTATGAACAGGTAAGCCAGTAAGGCTGCAGCTTTCTGCTACCTGTGAATTGGGAGATGCTCTCAGGAAAGAGCCGAAGTTTACAAACCTCACAGGTTGTAGTGAGTTTTCCAAGCTGAGATTCTTCTCTACTTTTGCCTTTCAGTCACTCTCCAGTGTCTTCAGATAGTGGCTTTTATATGTTTTGTCCAAAATGTATAATGGTTTTGTTTGGGATGATTAGTTCATGCAAGGTACTCTTACATCTTACCGTGAACATTATCTTTAATAAAATAACTAGAGGCCCAGTGCACAAAAATTTGTGCACTTGGGGGTCGGGGGTTCCTAAGCCCGGCCTGTGCCCTCTTGCAGTCTGGGACCCCTCGGGGGATGACCACCTGCTGGCTTAGGCCTGCTCCCCGGGGGATTGGGCCTAAGATGGCAATCAGACATCCCTCTGGCAGCCCGGGAGCCCTCGGGGGATGTCCACTTGCCAGCGGGGAGCAGACCTAAGCTGCAGTCAGACATCCTTAGCAGTGCTGAGGAGGCAGGAGAGGTTCCCACCACCACCGCTGTACTGGCAGCCATCAACCTGGCTTGTGGCTGAGCAGAGCTCCCCCATGTGGGAGCACTCTGACCACCAGAGGGCAGCTCTTGCATTGAGTGTCTGCCCTGTGGTGGTCAGTGTGTGTCATAGTGACAGTCATTCCCAGTCTTTCTGCTGTTAGGGTCAGTTTGCATATTACCCTTTTACTATGTAGGATAGAGGCCTGGTGCACGGGTGGGGGCCAGCTGGTTTGCCCTGAAGGGTGTCCCGGATCAGGGTGGGGGTCCCGCTGGGGTGCCTGGCCATCCTGGGTGAGGGGCTGATGGCTGTTTGCAGCTGGACACACCCCCTTCAGGGTGGGGGTCCCCACTGGGGTCCCTGGCCAGTCTGGGTGAGGGGCTGAGGGCCGTTTTCAGGCTGGCCAGCGACTGAAGCTCCCAGCCTCTCCTTTTTATCTTTTTTCTTTTTTTATTCTGAGATTTATTTACCTTCTGTAACTGAAACATTGTTGCCGTCACTGGCGCTCCCAGCTCTGAGGCCACGGCAGGCTGAAAGCAGGTATCTGGGTTTGTTTAGCTTCTATAATTGAAACTCTGTTGCCATCACTGGCGCTCTAAGCTCTGAGGCCCCTGCTGGCTGAAAGCAGGTATCTGTGGTTTGTTTAGCTTCTATAATTGGAACATTGTTGCTTTTGGAGCTCAGAGCCGGGCCGCAGCAGGTGGGGAACATTGGCTTCCTCCATCACTGGAGCAAGCAAGCCTCATGTTCGCTTCAGCTGCGTGGCTGCCGGCTGCCATCTTTGTTGGCAGTAAATTTGCATATCACCCTGATTAGCCAATGGGAAGTGTAGCGGAGGTACGGTTAATTACCCTTTTTGTCTTTTATTAGATTAGATAGCACAATTGTATATTTATTTTAGTTGATATTAGTACTCTTACTATTTTTAATATTCAGCATAGTGGTCACAGAAGTCTTCTAAAGTTTTTGATCAAGTATGTTGTGGACAGCATAATGCTAGTTTGGATTGTAGTAGGATCAGAAGAATGATAATGCAATAATTAATAAATAATAATCCTACATAATAAAGAGCTAATATGCTCATTAGACCAAACAGCAGAATGACTGTCTGGATGACTGCCAGATGACCGTCTGGATGATCTTCTGGATGAAGCCAGGGCTGCAACGGCCGAGCCCCTTGCACGAATTTCGTGCATCGGGCTTCTAGTACAATAATAAACTGTGTTTTTGTATTCACAACTGTAAACCTACTTTTGCCCCATCCTGTATTTATTTTATTTCCAGCAATATTGCTAAATGATCTAATTAATTATAATAGTTTTTTTAGCCTCTTGGATTTTCTAGCTGTGTAATCATATTTACAGAATTATGACATTTTGGCTCTTTTTTTAAAAAAAAATTTATGTTTATTATTGTAAGTATTACAGATATCCCTCTTTTCCCTCCATTGACTCCTCAATTCCACAACCACCCCAACCTAGGCCTCCATTGCAATTTTCTGTGTGCATGGGTTATGCATATAAGTTTTTGGTTAATCTCTTCCCACTCCACTCACCTTCCCTCTGAGATTCATCAGTCTGTTCCATGCTTCTATGACACTTCTGGCTCTTTTGATCTATCTACTGCTTCTTAAATTCTTCTGACCTTATTTCATATGCTAGAACTGTGAATTTTAAATAAAAACGGGTAAAATTGGTACCTGTTTCTTATTCTGATTTTACTAGGAATTCTGTTAGTTTTTTAGCATTTAATAGGGTTGGGATTGATTCTGGTACTCTTATGTTTAGGATGTGTGGGGGTTTTTTCCCCCAGGAATAATTGTTGAAATCTCTGGACATTTTTTTAGTATAGACAGTCTTGCATTTTCATATGTTAATGTAATTAATGATATTGCTAGATTTCCTACTGTTGTATCAGGCTGTGTTCCTGGAATAAGTTCAGTTTATCATAATGGCTTATTATTTTATACTCTGTTAGATTAGATTTGCTAATATTTAGTTTAGAACATTTGTATCTATACTCACAAGTATGGTTTGTATTTTTTTTCAACATGTGCCAACTATGTTAGATTTTGGTGGTAGAGCTTTATCGGTGTTGTATAAAATGAATTAGAAAGTTTTCCATATATGCTCAAGGACAGTTTGAGTAACAGAAATATATGTTTCTTTTTTTTGAAATTTGATTTTAGAAAGAGGAAGGGAAAGGGAGAGAGAGATAGAAGCATCAATGATGAGAGAGAGGAAGGGAGAGAGAAAGAGAAAAAAAAAATTGACCTGTTGCTCCACCCATCTATGCATTCATTGGTTGACTCTTGTATGTGCCCTGACTAGGGATCGAATCTACAATATTGACATATAGAAATGATGGTCTAGCAACTGAGCCACCTGGCCAGGGCTAAATATAGATATTTTTAAATTTAGAATTTTATGTACATTCTAGAGGCCCGTTGCATGAATTCATGCACCAGTGGGGTCTCTTGGCCTGGCCTGTGGGATTGGGCTGAAACCAGCTTTCCAACATTCCCTGAGGGGTCCCGGATTGCGAGAGAGCACAGGCCAGGCTGAGGGGCCCCATCAGTGCACTACTGGGGCCAGAGAGGGACGTGGGAAGTTGGCCAGCTGGGACCACTGGAGGGCTCTAGGGCGTGTTCAGCCCATCTTTCTCAGTCCCGATTGGCCGGACTCCAGCAGCAAGCTAACCTACCGGTCAGAGTGTCTGTCTCCTGGTGATCATTGCACATCATAACGAGTGGTTGAGCAGCCTTAACATATCATTAGCATATTATGCTTTGATTGGTTGAACGGCCAACCAGATACTTAGCATATTAGGCTTTTATTATATAAGATTGCCACTTACAATGTGATACACTGCCATTTGGGCAGAAGCTGTGTCTTATTTAATTTGCATTTTTTAGTTTTTAGCATAGTAAACAATACCATAGTTGGCTATTTTCCTTGGTTTGACTAATTCATAACTGTTATAGCACTTGATCATTTGTTTCACCAAGCTGTATGGTTCTATTTTTTTTTAAAATATATTTTATTGATCTTTTACAGAGAGGAGGGGAGAGGGATAGAGAGTTAGAAACATCGATGAGAGAGAAACATCAATCAGCTGCCTCCTGCACACCCCCTACTGGGGATGTGCCCGCAACCAAGGTACATGCCCTTGACCGGAATCGAACCTGGGACCCTTGAGTCCGCAGGCCGATGCTCTATCCGCTGAGCCAAACCGGTCAGGGCAACGGTTCTATTTAGTCTTATTTCTGACAGTTTCTAAAATGATGTGGAATGTCTCCTAATTTAGATTCAAAACAATATTTAAATAATTATGTGAAGTTTAAAGTTAATAGTTTATCCATAAGTTTCCTTTAATAGATGCATTATTTTTATGTTGGTTCGGGTGATTTTCCTGTTTAGTAATATGAATAATAGATATTCTATTAGTATTTTTCCTCTGAATTTAATGGAGTTGTTTTTTCAGATTACTTGACTATTCTTTAGAATAGCTCTGAGCAAATTATAGCTCCTGAGCCAAATCCAATCCACTGCTTTTTTTTGTAAATAAAGTTTTATTGGAATACAGCCAGGCCCATCTATGTATGTATTCTCTATGGTTGCTTTCACACTACAAAGGCAGAGGTAAGTAGCTGTGACAGATGCTATATGGGTCACGGAGCTTAAAATATTCAATTTCTGACTTTTTACAGAAAAAGTTTGCTAACCCTTACATTACAACATTAGAATAGTGATTACGGATTGCCTTACATGCCTATATCCAGGCTCTTAAGGGAATCTTTGGACAAATTCTGTTTATGTTCACAAGTCATGTAGTCAGCATATTGAGGCACAGTTCTAGGTACTGGAGGCACAAGGGGGAAACAGTGGACAAGGCACATATAGTCTCTGTCCTCGTGAAGCTATCATTCAAGTGTAGAGGAAATAGACAACTAACTATGAAGACTTCCCTCTTAAAATATGTAAATCTTTCTTCCTTTCTGATGAGATAATTCACGAATTTATTAACAAAATATTATATTGACATAAGTTTCCTAGTTATAGTGAATCTTGGGAAGTATAACATGGGATTTAGTGTCCATTGTTACTGAGACTTATTTTCTTCTTCGGTGAAATTTGCAGAGGTCACTCTCCCTTTTGGGTTATTTGGGTTCTTAATCTATAAGGTAACCTAAGTTGAACTCCTCACTGTGGCTATTGGGGCTCAATAAATATATATAAAATTCATGTCAGATTTTTTTGTTAGAGAAATTCAATGCTAAAATAAAAAAAAATGATAGCTAACATATTTCAGGTACTCTCCTAGATAGTTTACATATCTTACCTCATTTACTCCTCTTAATAATGCCATGAGCTATTTATTATAATTTCCTTTTTCCAGAGGATGAAAGCTTTGTTGAGAGAGGTGAGGTGAAATAGTTAAGGATGGAGTCTGCCCTCATTAGCATCTTAACCTTGCTGACTCCAGGACTGGAGTTCTTGGCTATTATTGTTTGCTTAATACTTTTTGAGATTTGCAAATAAATGTTTTCAAGTTGACATTACCATAATGGACCTTTAATTTTACTAGCTGCTTCATCTTCTTCCCTCCCTCCCTCCATTCCCTCCCTCCCTCCATTCCCTCCCTCCTCCTCCTCCTCCTCCCCCTCCTCCTCCTCCTCCTCCTCCCCCTCCTCCTCCCCCTCCTCCTCCTCCTCCTCCTCCTCCTCCTCCTCCTCCCCCCCTCCTCCTCCTCCTCCTCCTCCTCCTCCTCCTCCTCCTCCTCCTCCTCCTCCTCCTCCTCCTCCTCTTCCTCCTCCTCTCTCTCTCTCTCTCTCTCTCTCTTGTTATTGTTTTGTTTTTTTGTGTTTTTGGGGGGCATGATTATTGACATTGGAAGATATAGGAGATAATTTTCTCCTCCTTTTTCTTTGTGTATGTGTACTTATGTGTGTTTAAGATAATGTAAACCAGAAAAGTGGAAGAGAAGGATTCTGCAAAAATAAAACCCAAGAATACATAACACAGCAAGGAAGAAAGCGATTGATTTCACCGGGAAGCTCACAAAGTACATCTGCAGAGCAAGACACAGGAAAAAAGTGCAGAAATGCTGATCAGGAAGAGTCTGTCATTTCATCCAAGGTGATTTAAAAAAAATAATTATCTGATTGTTTTCTTAATCAGATATTCTAGATAGCAATTAATTATATGTGGTATGCAGCAAGGAAAAACCAAAATTGCTTTTTATTAATGAGTTTATGAAGTTTACAAAAAGAAAAATTAGCTCATATTTTGCTGACTTGCTGACAATATCCTTTAATATAGTATTTGCATTGTAGAAAACAAAGTTACTTAGAAATTTTCAGACTGGGGAAAAGGTAAAGACCACCTGACTGTGGTTATCATTGGAACCTCCATTATTAAAAACTGGCCTTTTCATATTATATTGGTTATTCTCAAATGGCATGTAACCACTTTTTCCTTTTCTTTTTTTGTTTTTTGTTTGTTAATCCTCACCCGAGGATATTTTTCCATTGATTTTTAGAGAGAGTGGAAGGGAAAGGGAGAAACAGAGAGAGAAATGTTGGTGTGAGAGAGACGCACCAATTGGTTGCCTCCCACACATGCCCCGACCCGGGCCCAGGATCCAGCCTGCAACTGAGGTACATGCCCTTGACCGGAATCTAACCCAGGACCATTCAGTCTGAGGGCCCACACTCTGTTCACTGAGCCAAACGGGCAAACCACCTTTTTCTTGATGAGTATTCAGAGAACAACTAGTGGGCTAATTCTTACTAGCCTGTTGCAGGATTACTTCTGGGCTAACTTTTAGTATATATAAACCTTCTCTTTCAGTTTCTGCTAACTTACTAAAATAGTTTGGATGACTTATGCATTCTTTAGCACTGAGTACTTAAAGAAAATTAGGCCTATATTGATGCATATAACAGGAGAGGAAAAAAAGATATCCCTGGGGCAGAAAGGTCAGATATTCTTCCTCTTGGTAGAGGGGTGGCTTCAGATGCAGTTTTCATGATCCTGTAGACCTATGGCTGAGCTCTGTGGTCCTCGTCTTTTTAGTCTCCACAAGAGCCGAAGGAGTGGGATTGGTTTTAGGATAGTGTGCACTGGAGTGATTGAAAGGCCAGTAGCCTTCCCGAGGGTCAGGTCTTTTGTAATATTCCCCTCACTCCTGCCTCCTCTCCACCAGAGCAGATCCAGATTTTCATTGGATCCTTCTTTCAGCTAGAGAGGTGGGGTCTAATAACTATAGCCAGAACCCCTTGCTTGCTTTTGGGGTCAAGTTTAAGAAGTGAAAACAAAGTGTTTTCTGACTCAGTGTTTTGCCCACAAAAGCTTATAAGGTAAAACTTACTTACTTTGAGACCTAACATGCTCTACTATCTGAACATATTATTATGACTGCCTTTATTTTCCAAGAAGAGAAGTTTATTTTTTCAGAGTAAAATCTATAGTATACATGTTTTACTATGTTTATTTCAACCCATCAGTTTGATAATCGCAAGTACTACTTTCACAAACACCTTCTTAACTGATAGATTTTTAGAGAGGAGCAGTAAACAGGGCCAAAATATTTGAGGTATTTGTGAGATTTTGATGACATCAAGGTAGTATTCAGCTAGGTCCCAGGAATGCCTGAGCTCTACTTGGCCAATTTTGTTTCCTTATCTTAGGGTTTTTGAGGGAGATTCAGCTCTCATAGCACAGGAGAAACAGGGCTCAAGGTTTCAGTACCTTTTCATAACCTTTTATGCAGGGCTTTCTGATAAAGCTGGGCTGGAGGTGAGGACTTAGACTGAGACCCAAGAAGACCTTTCTAAGCCCCACCCTCCATCCCCACCCAGTTTCACTCTTAACTGGCTTGCAGCTGGTCCTGAATGGATATCTGCAGTGCAGGAGCAGGTGAGAGGGAAAGTTACAAGAGTGAAAACAGGAGGTTGGGGCTGCCTATTTATACTGTAATGGCATGAGGTTGCCAATTATATGGGACTAAGAACAGTTTGGCCAGGCCTGCAGAGTAGACTTGGGTCAGTTCACTTGGGAAGAATCAGTCACATTTTCCTGGGAAAGAGAAAGAAAGGAGGTGGAGAGAAGGGGCAGAAATCACCTTCCCTCACTGGGCCCTACTCCTGAGATTCTGATTCAGTTGTTCTGTGCACATCTGTATTATTTTAAATAAACATTTTCAGTTGTAATGTGTACACAAGGTTGAGAGCTACTGATGTACCATCATTCAACACCTTGGAGGTAACTGGGCCCAAGAGCACATTGCTAGAGACCTTGGGCTCAAACATAGGTCTTTTCATTTTGGGTACAATGGATTTCTCTACCATACATATGAGACTGTCTGCAAGAGTTTTGTGGCTCTATAACTTCTGATAAGGCAGCGAATTGCTCTGAAATAGTTCATTTTTCATCAGTTTCCTTATGTCACCCCTTACCAGTTATGTAATTATCTAATTGGGGATTGAAAGGAGGGTGCTTGAATTTATGAACTTTAACAGAAATAATGGTATGTCCTGTACACAGTCTAATTAGGACTGGGTTGTAAATGACAGAAGGAAGCCTAACTGATTCAACGTAAGCAAAATGAAGTGTATCAGCTGTCTATTGCTGGGAAACAAGCTACCCCAGCACTTAGTTGCTTAGCAGAACAATGATTTATTATCTCTTATAATTCTGTGGATTGGTTCAGCTCAGCTAGGCAATTCTTTTATGACACAATTTTGGTGTCAGCTTGACTGTATCCAGCTGGGAGCTCAGCTGAGGCTAAAGCATCCATGGTGGCTTCACTCTCAGGAGTGGTGCCCCAGCAAGGATTGATGGGATGACTGGGGGCTGGCTGGGCCTCCCTCCTTCCACTTAACTATTAAGTAGTCTAAACTGAGAATCTGTGCCTGACAGAGTGAAAGAAGAAGCTTTCAGGTCTCTGAAGGCCTAGAACTGGTACATGATCATTCTGCAGCATTCTTTTGGTCAGAAGAAGTTAGACCAAAACTACTTCTTAGATTCAGGGGAAGGGGATTAGACTCCACTTGTCCAGTGGAATGATTTATATAGAAGGTATAGGTGGGATTATTGGCAGCCATCTTTGATGACTGAATCTCACACAAAGATATAGGAATAATTCAATTTCCAGAATGAAAAATAGCAGGAACTATATAGATCATAAGGACCAGCCAGAGACTTGTTCAAATCAGGTTGGTCTATGGTTTTCTTATTTTTGCTTCTTGAATTATTCTTCACTGCTATTGACAGGCTTTATTCACATGGTCTACAACATGGTCATGGGTAGCTTTAGGCTCATGCCATCCCATTTTTTAAGTTAAGAGAAAAAATATCCACAAGAGTGTCTTGTTTCTGTGGTTGCTTTAGTGTTAAATTCTAGGAACTTGGATAATGGAATCTCCATTTTGACCATTCATAGTGGTCAGAAAGATGAGGCAGTATTACCCGTTTCTCAGTCATTTGATAATGAATGGAGGAAAGAGGTCTATGAAGAAATGAACGATATACATTATACTTTTTAAAAACACTATAGTTAGATTTGGATAAATTCAGCGAGCAGGAAAACAACTGGTAGTTTGCTTAGGATGGTTGAGATCAACCTAACAAATGAGGAGACTGGAAATGGTTGGGAACATTGGGGTACACCCTAGGCAGGGGCAGGAAAGACTAAGTTAACCTCTTTTGAAGGAGGTATTTGAGTTAGGTGTTGAAAGATGGCTGGCCTGTTAGCAAGTTCGTTCGGTGAGGAGGAGTAATGTCAGTGAAGGGCATCGTTGCTGAGCAGAGAGAGGTGCAGACGCAAGGAAGTGTGTGGTCCATTGATGTCTATCACACTGCAGTGTCTTGTGTGTGTGTGCATGGATGTGTGTGTGGATATGCATGGGCAAGAGCTGAGGAGGAAGCTACAGAACAAATCAGAGTGAAAGCCAGATTAAGTAAGAAATCAGGACTGTATTTTATGGCTTCAGATACTTTTTGAAGTGTTTTGAGTGAGAGTTATGTGGTTAGGAGTGTGTAGCAGCAATATGTAAGATGGAGGCGGGACCAGCCTAAGAACCTGCCACAGGCGGCCACAGGGAATGAAAGCCTGGACTGGAATGGTGCCATTGGGACCAGAGAGAAGTAGAGAAATGTGAGAGACATTTTGGAGATAGAATGTGAACAAACCTGATGACTAACAGAATATCGAGGAAGAGATTGAAAATGTTCTTAACAGAGCAGTAGACATGGCAGTTGGGGAAGAGATGGGAGGACTTTCTTGGTTTGAGGCAGTGGTGATGAATCTATGAAAGCCATCTAATAGAAATGAAAGTCTGTCTCATAAGAGAGAAAAAAAAATCAGAGCTAAAGAGTTCTGTTATGCCATATTATTTGGGAGCAACTTGCAAATGCACCTGTATTTCGTTCAGAGCAAATGGAGTATATGTGGAGGAGGGTGCTTTGGTGATAAGAACCATTTCTAGATATACTCCCTGCTCTGTCCTCTGTATGCAGCTTCCCTCTGTGATAATAATTGCTGAAACAAATAAGCTGGCTGTTAAGTACCTCATTTCTCTATAGATAGATGTCTGCTGTGGAGTCTTAACTCATTTTTCTTTAGGGAAATGGCAGGGGAGATAAAGCCTATAATGCTTACTTACACAGCTATTTCTTAGGAAAGGCTGAATTCCCCAGAGCTCCTAAGTATTGGTTTATTAAATCAAGGAATCTTATACCCTTTGCTCCTGATTGGTCATTTGGGTTAGTACCATTTATAGCATACTTCTGATCAGTCCCATAGAAACGTCTTTTCATTTATCATTCATTCACTCATGCACTCAATACGCATTCATTAATAGTAGTAATGTAGTGGCATTAATTATGCTATTAACAATAACAAATGAAAACAAAAAACTACAACCATTTAGTGAGCTCTTATTCTGGGCTAGACCCAGCACTAAGATATTATTTCATTTAATTTTTAGAAAATCCTGGAAAGTAGGTTGATTATATATCTGGTTTATAGATTATGAGACCTGAGGTTCTGAGAGTTTAAATCAACTTGTTTAAAGTCAAAGGTTAAGAAATGGTAAAGCTGATATTCAAAATTCAATTTTTTTACTTCAAAGATTATTCTAATAATCATTATACTAAGCAGTTATATGCAAGGCAGTGTACTAGAATTTGGGATTGAAAGATGAATAATATGGAGTTAATAAGGAATCCTAGGGACATGATTCGAATCATAAAATAATGTGACCACACATTGATTTTTATGGGAGCTTTGAGGAGGACTACCCAAGCCAGCTGGAGGATTCCTAGGGAAGGGTTCCTAAAAGAAACGATGGAGATGAATCTTAACAAAAGAGCAGTAGGTACAGCCCAGGTGTAGAAGAGGTAGAGGTAGGAGTCCATCCCAGGTAGATGGGGCAGCAGGTATATGAGCAGGGGGGATACAAATGATATGTTGGGAGTTCTTAGTGCAAAGTAGGTGGCAGTGTGAGATGAGGGTAAAGTCAGAAGTGGGGACTAGTTCATAGAGGGAAGACCTTGAGATGTTTTCAGCCACAGAGATAATCCTGGCAGCTCTGCAGAGGAGAGATTGGAAGATAGGGGAAGAGGGAGGAGATTAGGGAATTAACACAATCAAGAAATAAAGAGAATGGGACCCAGGGCAGTAACTTTAAGGATGAAGCAAAGGCATTGGATTAGAGTAATGTATAGGAAGCAGAACTGTAGGACTTGTTGCTTGGATCTGGGGAAAGTGGAGGAAAGGAGGGAAAGATATACTTCCAAGGTTCTGGCTGGAATGAGTGGATAAGTTATATTGGCATAGCTATGGTACAGAATACAGAGGGAGGATTTCAATTTTGACATTTTGAGTTTGAGGTGCTTTGGATATTGGAGAAGAAATGTCTAGCTAGTGATTGAATAAATATATGAGTTTGAAGCTCAAGAGCGAACGTGGGGCTAGAGTTTAGGATTTTTTAGTCTCTAGCATGCGGGTGTTAATGGGATGGATGAAGGACTTTTAAAGTAACTTATGAGCACAGACATTCTTTCCAAGAGCAGCTTGGAAACACGATGAATTACCTCATTGAACTAGTATTAGGAGGAAGTTTTTATTCTGTCCCTTATAGTACATGAAAACTTCAGATGTTTGAGGGCTGGGAAGGGCAAGTTAATGGACTATTTTAATAGCCTTAATAATGCAGTCCAGCTGCCTCCAAGCACCAAGGTCACCTTCCATGAGCTCCATGCTCCTCCATCTCTGAGGTTTCTAGCATGTATTTTTATGGTATACGGGATCCATCCTCTCTATAATGAATCTCTAGCCTCCCATACTTCATTCTTCATGTTCTCATCTAATCTAAGAAAGAAGCAATGTGGGTATTTATAAAATATGGAACTCTCTGCCTTTCCCCTATTTCTTCCAAGTACAGAGCACCTTCCATTTTTCCTCTTTCCTCAGTTGCCAGTTCACTTGCTCTGGCTCATGAGCTTTGTAATTGGCGCAGTGCAAATTTATGTCTCAGCAAACTTACAAATTACTGCATGTAATGGATTTTGGGGATCATTTATAAATAATTGAAACCATGATTGTTAAATTCTTGAATGCCAAGGGTCTACTGAATATTAATATTTCATGGAGTTCCATAAAGAACATTATGAATTCTAGCTTCTGTGACTCTTAAAATGGTATATTTGAGAACCCCTGACCCATAGAATTGATATCTGTGACTTTATAATTTCTCTCTCTTTTAGAATAAATTAATGTGTTAAACATATTTCTTGTGAAGATATTTTTTAAAAAAACAAATCCTTCCTTATATTTCATGGAAGCAGAGGGAGTTGAAATATGATGCTAAACATTTCATGCCTTTTTTTAAATTTAATTTTCTTTTATTTGTTTTTCATATTTAAATATATTTTATTGATGTTTTACAGAGAGGAAGGGAGAGAGATAGAGAGTTAGAAACATCGATGAGAGAGAAACATCGATCAGCTGCCTCCTGCACACCTCCTATTGGGGATGTGCCCACAACCAAGGTACATGCCCTTGACCGGAATCGAACCTGGGACCTTTCAGTCCGCAGGCTGATGCTCTATCCACTGAACCAAACCAGTTAGGGCTGTTTTTCATATTTAAATGGCAAAATAATACATGCTTGTTGTGAAAAAACAATACCAACACAGAGTATTCAGAAGCATATAGAATAACACATATATATCTTGAATTGCCTATCCTTCAGTCCCATTGTCTTACAAGTATTTTGATTTGTATCCTAAACCATTTCATTTGGATTTATACAAGTAAGTCCACACATAGCTATATAGGGATTTTTTTTTTTTTTAAAAAAAGCTAAATGGGATCATGGTACTATGTATATTGTTATTGTTTAATTAAAAAAAAAAAAATAGCCGTGGCCTGGTAGCTTAGTTGGTTAGAGTATCATCCCCATATGCCAAGATTTCAGGTTTGATCCCATCAGGGCACATAAAAGAATCAACCAATGAGGGCATAAATAAGTGGAACAACAAATTGCTGTCTCTCTCTCTCTCTCTCTCTTTCTCTCTCTTTCTTTCCCTCCATCCCCCCTCTCTTTTTTTCTCTCTCTCTCTATATAAATTTAAAAAATATATATTTCAACCTCTGCATGGTGTTTCATAGTAAGAATACCTTCTAATTTAGTTAACTTCTTCCCAAGCTGTGCCCTTTTTTTTCTCCTACTTAAGTGTAAAGGATGTTCAGTGGGACTCCCCCTCCGCCCATTGTCCTATAACTGTTGCTGAGGCCCAAAGATGGGACAACAGTACTGAGTATTTCATGTTTGAAAGGAGCCTCCAACAGTGAAAGCCAGACCTTTCCCCGTGGGGATTGTTGAAAGGCGTCCAGTGACCTACCTTCCGGCTGTATACAAAGAGAACTGAGAGACAAGAAGGTTTTTTAAGGTTTGGGGATTGCTATGCTTGTGGAGAGAAGCTTTTTCTGCCTTTCTAAAATCAAGAGAAGAGGGGGCTCTGAGAGAATTACTTGTGGAGTTTAGAGATACCAACAGAAAGAAGAGAATGGCATTTATGTGGACATTGACTCAGCCAGTGGATTTGCTGGCCTCCCTACCCCTTTAGTACCTGCACAGGCAGAAAAACAACCTGTGAGAGTTAACCTGGTGGGAGACTGCCCAGTGGGGAGGTGGGCCAGGGTTGTCCCAGTCCCACCCCAGCGTTCTAGTCTCTGACATGTGTTGGTTGGTCCTGCAGCAGAGGGCGATGAGAATGGGGTGTGGTTGAGCAGCTTAGGAGAAAAGAGTTTATGTTTTAGAAGAATGGTATAAACGTCACCTGCGGAAGGTTAGCTCCAAGAGGTAGCCAATGATTGCTTTTCCAATAGTTATTTATTACAAGAAACATTATAAGACTTAGGTTCCATTTATAAATTGTTAAGTCAGTTTGGATAATATTTTAAAATTACATACTGTGTTTTTTTTAAAAAAGGAAAGTATTTAAATACAAGTAATTAGTCCAAAAGAAGCCATGTTAATAATATCTTCTCAAGAAATTGGAACTGTTAGGCATTAAGTAATATCAAAATCAGCTTTTCCCAGATGCAGCCAGTATACATGAGTCCTCAGTTATACATGGGGGTGAACATTTATATGTATCTAGTATGTTGTCATCACTTCCTAGAAATGGTTCCCAGGAGGACTGGGGTGTATCTGAGCAGTGTTTTCACTCCAAAGGAAGTATTAGTAAGTGGTCATCTTTAATAGCATAGGGCCTGGTTTACTCTTTGTGCTGGCGGTAAGTACAAATGAAAAAGGTCCTATATGCTAATGAGAATACTTACCTGGTTCACAGCCCCTCTAATTGGTTAAACTGAAACCTTTATTCAGATCATGTCAGAGGAATCATGTTTATTTTCTGAGTTGGCCATAACTTAGCTTCATGTAAATTTATCTGTGAGGGAGGAGCAATTTTATCATTCAGTTATAGGGAAAAAATCATGATATTTAGATGGGTGAAATGAAGTATTGCAGTAACTTATAAGAAATTAATTATAAGGACTATGCATGTTAAGAGTGAAACACATTGTTAAATAGAAAATTTAAGAGATTAGTAGGCTTTTTGAGAAAGATTATATTCAAATGAAAGCAAATGTTTTTGCTTATGTTTCATTTCTATTTTTCTGGTTATCTTTTATGGAATGTTTGACATGATTGGAATGGTTTGATCCAACTGAATTCTTTTCTAATAACTATGTGTTTTAAAGTTATTAACTAGAGACATAGAAAGTGGTATTTTTAATAATTCTGAATGAAGTAAATATTGAAAATGTAAAAATATACCTATTGCATGAATCTTGTAGTGCCATGCTTTTATGCTTAGTTTACATATCCCTTTTACATTTTTTCTGATTTGTTTGATAGGAAATGCCACAAACAGTTTCTGCAGTCACATTAAGTAACATGGATGTGAGTAATAAGAAGACTAATGCACTGAGAAATGAAATCCCAACAGAGGGACTTGGTAAGGTTTCTGAAGATGAAATCATCACTAAAGGAACACGAAATAAAGAAGAGACAGTGAGCTGTTCTGAGAGTTGTTCGAGTGCCCAAGGCAAGTCTTCCCATGGGGAGTCTCAAGGATCTTGTCCTGGGCCTAGCTCTGATCCCTCCAACCCTGCAACTCTGCATGCAAAAGCAGCCGATCCAGTTCTACAAGGTTCTGAAGAAAACAAGGTCAAGAGAACATCCTGCATGTATGGGGCAAACTGCTACAGGTAAAATGAAAGTATAGGTAGCATATAATGCCATTATTTCAATGGCATGTAGCCATGTAAATATATGTTATCATGTATTAAAAGCCTAATAAAACACATGGGCCTAAAGATTAGGAGCTTTTTTATGTATCTACTTGGTTTGTACTGTCTCAGTGTATATTCTTGCAAATCCTGCTAGAAGGTTTTAATAATTAGATATTTCATATGTAGTCATGCTGGTTAATGCAAGGATTTGAACTGGGGATTCCAGACTTGAAAATTGAATCACTCAGACCCAGATATTTAGTGTCTTATTGAGATATTAGAAAGATAGCTTCATAAATAGTTATATACATTATAACTATTGAGATAATTTTAGGTTGTGTTTAGGCATCTTATTATACTTGTGCATTTTCCTCTATATTTTTTAATGGTGCTTTTGAATCACCATGATGTCTTCTGAAACAACTGAATGTATATTTCCTGGATTATTTGGTTACTTCTATACTTACCTCATTTGATTACATTGCACTATATTTTCTAATTTCAACCACCTCTGCCTCGTCCCCTGCTACTGTGGCTTTGTCCGGAAGATGTCCAGTCTAACTAGCATATTTCCCTTTTATTAGTATAGATAGAAACAGAACTTATTTTTATTTTTTATCCTGTAGCTTTGCTGAATTAGTGTATTACTTCTAAATGGTTTTTGTAGAATCTTTATTTTTCTGCATATGTAGAAAATGCATAAACATGTACACCAAAAATATAATGTTAATGGCAGTATTATGTATAAAAGCCAATAACTTGAATGAACCCAAGGGTCTATGAATAGTAGAATGGACAAATAAACTGTAGCAACTTCATACAATGGAATGTTACACAGTAATGAAAATATACTACTGCTACATGCAATAATATAGAGTAATCATGTAAACATAAAGTCATTCTCAAAAAAGTATATGCTATATACTTCAATTTAAAGTCAAGAACAGAGAAAACTAATGTGTTGTTTTATAACATCACTTCCCAAAGTATGGTTAAGATTCTCCTGAGAAGTTCTGGTACCCAGGAAGCTTTTAGAAAATCTGTAAGGATAAAACCATTTTCATAATGAAACCAAGATTTTGTGGGTTTGCCTTTTTCACTCTAATTCTCTCACTCACAGGTATACATACAGCAGTTTTCCAGAGGCTACATGATCGGCATTACTGTTAATGATTGAATGCAGAAGCAGATCTGAGAATCTAGATGCCCTCTATTAAGATTCAGCCAGACATTAAATGCATTTTCAAAGTTTGACACAGTGTTTCCATGAATTTTGGGGGGAAGATATAGTTATTTACATGTTATTTATTATCTATAATAATAAAAGCATGATATGATAATTAGACTGGACGACCTTCCAGACGAAGCCAGAGCTATGAGGGAAGCCCAGGTCCTAGGTGCCAGAGGGACGCCAGTGCCAGCAGCTGGGGGAAGGAAGGCCTACTCTTGCATGAATTTTGTGTATCGGGCCTCTAGTAATATATAAAAGGTTAATTATTTTTAAATATACCTTTTACGTTTCTTATTTTCTTATTTCTAACAGGTTAAATAACCACATGAACAAAAGCTCTCTGGAGTTTTAGTAAATTTTTCTTGCAACCAAAAAATTTGAGATACACTATTTTCTATGATTGGATAGTGTCTACTTTTGGGTAGGAAAATAGGTTTAATGATTGGAAGGAGACCTGTGGAGACTTCTAGAATGTTGGTAATGGTCTGTCTTTTACCTTAGCAAAGAGTGCCTAAGTGTGCTCATTAAAAGTCCTCAAACACTTATACTTTTATCTGTAAAGTAATGTCCATTGACATACATGGCTTACCATATTTCACTAGAAATTAATTTTGTTACCATGGAGAGTTCTGTGTTGAATACATGATGAGTTTTGTTTTTAACAATGTAGCATATTAGTTCACATTCTGGAATAATCAGATGTGTGTTGCTTCGCTTCCTGCCATATCCTATTAATTATTTTTTAGTATATCTAGAAATTTCACATATTCTATTAGTTATTTTTTCTCACTGTATATTTGCAACCCTTATAGGAAGAATCCTGTCCATTTCCAACATTTCAGTCACCCTGGTGATAATGATTATGGAGGTGTAAAAGTCATGTGTCAAGATCTAACTGATGACCGGCCTGAATGTCCTTATGGAGAATCTTGTTATAGGTATGGAAACCTACAAGGTTTGGTTGTGCTTCCTTTTCTCCTTAATTTCTGTTATTTATTCATTTATGCCTGCAGTTTCTCATCTCAAGCCTTTAACATTTAGTTTTTAAACTCCCATAGAAAAGGTTTTCATTCTGCTAATAAGTAGGATTACAATATTTCCTTTAGATAATTCTAAAGTGTTGAAGTTGTTAACCTTATAAATATCTGAAATTTTTCTCATAACTTTCTAAAATGCAAATCATATAATTTAAAAGGGATCGATGCTATCCCATCGTACACTCTTATCCAGGCTCCTTAGTGTGACACAAATCAATTCAGGATGTTATCTCTGCCTCCCTCAGCTCCACCATTCCTGCCAACACATGAAACTGGATCCTGTAAGGAAAGGAAAGCTACCTCTCTCTCCTGTAGCATCGTGTGCCCGTGTGTACCATGCAGAGTAGAATTTATTTCAAGAGATCATTTGTTTCTTTACCAGAATGCCTCCTCCTCCAGACAGGCGCTTTCTTGACAGCAAGGACTCTTTTATCCTTGTACCTGCAGCCTTGCTTAATGAATGAAGTGTAAATAGATCACACTACCAAAGAGAGAAGTAACGATTCCCTTATAGGAAGAAATTCCCTCAAAATTCATTCTTAGTCTTAGAGAATTCCAGAATGGGTGTTAATTCCAGACACCCATTTTTCTGATAATTTTGGAATACAGGTTACTAAACCTAGTGGACTTTTTGAAGTTGTTGCCAGTTTTGTAATTGTGGTTTTTATTAAGAAGGCAGAATAAGCTTCTGAAGCTAGAAAGGAAAAAGCCTTATCATTTGAAAAATAAGTGTTCCATTCCAACAGAATGTCATTAGATATTTTCATCAGCTGTGTCAATAAACTTGAAAATTTAGGAGAAGTGAACGAATTCCTAGAAAATATGTCTTTTAGAAACATATTCAAGAAAAAATGGAATAATCCATAATATTAGAGAAATTGAATACATAATTAAAAGCCTTCCACGAAGGAAAGGCTGTTTGGTGTTAATTCTACCAAACATTTAAAGAAGAAACACTCAATGTTTATACAGAGTATTCAAAAAAAAGTAAAAAAGGTTATATTCTCCAACTCATTTTATGAGGCCAATATAATCTTTAAAAAATATTTTTATTGATTTCGGAGAGGAAGGGAGAGGAACAGAGAGATAGAAACATCAGTGATGAGAGAGAATCATTAATTGGCTGCCTCCTGCATGCCCCACACTGGGGATCGAGCCCACAACCCAGGCATGTACTCTGACTGGGAATCGAACTGTGACCTCCTAGTTCATAGATTGATGCTCAACCACTGAGCCATGCCAGCCGGGCAAGACCAAAATAATCTTAATACTAAAACCTAGCAAGAAAAATACAAAATGAAAAATTACAGGAAAAATGACTTTAGAATTTAGATGCAAATATTCCTGAAAGAACAAAAAAAGGTTGGTTAAGTGAATCAAGTAATTAAAAAAAAAAAAAGGAAACTATAACATGACCAAATTGGGTTTGGTCAAGGAATGCATGTTTTAATATTAAAAAATAATGTTAATTTTCCACATATCAGAATAAGTAGAAAATTATATAATTTTAATAATTATAAAAGCTGACAAAATTTACTTATGATAATATTTCAAAGTAGGAATAGAAGGAAACATTTTTAATATTATAAAGAATATCTACAAAAAGCTTATAGCAAATATCATACATACTTATAAGTGATATATTAAATTTTTTCTTTCGGATATTAGAAATGAGATAGTAATATTTATTCCCTTAATTCTGTCAGTTTTTCTTCATGAACTGTGGTCTGTCTTTAATAGAAAAGCCATAGAAATGGGAAACTCACTCAGATGTTCCCTTTTTCCATGTGACACCCCTCTGGTTTCTGCCTGCTTTTGGTATTATCTATTGCCTTAAGATTATTATTTTTAATAGGTTTCTTCTGTCATTACCAGAAGTAGAACTCTTACTTTGCATGATATGATAGAGCTGCTCAAGCTTATGTTAGTGTTTGTGAGATATTTTTTATCCTTTTACTTTCAACCTCTGTCCTTATATTTAAAGCATGTCTCTTACAAATAGTGTATAATTGGTTTCATGGTCTTATTTTTTATCCAGTCTGATAGTCTCTACCTTTTAAATGTAATGCTTAGTCCAGTTATATTTAATACAATTACTGATATATTTGAGTTTAATTTTGTCTTTTACTATTTGTCTTCTATTTCTCCCACAAATTCTTTGTTCCTTTAGCCTTCTTTTCCTGATTTATTTTGGATTTAGCCAAGTGCTTTTCATTTCATTTCCCCCTCCACTTACTCTTTAGTTACATATATTTTTTCATGTAACATTCTATGTAGTAGTCATCATTGACTTCCTACCTTAGAGTTGCTAATTTTACCATTTCCCAAACAATGCAATAATCTTACATCAGTTTAATTCCTTTTCCTCTTTCACCTTTTTTTTATATGTCATCATACATTTTTACCACTATTCATGTTAACTTCTAAGGTATTGTTATTAATTTCTTGAATGTTAAGCATCATTACTCTTTTATATTTACTGGCATATTTATTACTTTGTGTGCCCTTCATTTTTTCCTGAAGTTTTATCTTTTTATTTGGTATCATTTTCTTTTAGTCTTAACTTCTTTTAGTATTTCAGGTTGTGAAAAATATGCTGGAAAAGAATTCTTTAAGTTTTTGTGTGTATGAAAATGGCCTTATTTAGTTTTTTGGGTTTTTTTGTTTTTAAGGATGTTTTTACTCAATGTAGAATTTTAGCTTGGCAAATTTTGTTTCCTTTCATCTCTTAAAAGATGTCAATCTACTGACTCTTGCATTCATAGTTTATGTCAAAAGTATATATTGTTGCTCTTTTATAATTAACTAGAGACCCGGTGCACGAATTTGTGCACAAGTGGGATCCCTTGGCCTGGCTGGTGATAGGGAACGATGGGGGGGGGGGGTGGTCAAGGGGAGGGACCACAGGAGGTTGGCCCCAGCAGTAAGCTAAGGCATGGCCAATTCCGTGAGGTGCGGGGTGTGGGTGAACCAGATTCAGGGCTGCGGGTGTGGGTGAACCAGATTCAGGGCTGTCAGGGCCCTAGCAGCAAGGTCTGGCTCAGTGCACTTCATAGCTACTGGCTGGTAGTCGGTCGTTCTGGTTGTTCTGATTGTTTGGTCGTAATGGTCACTTAGGCTTTTATATATATAGATGTGCTTTTTCTCTGGCCATATACTATAGGAAGTATAGAAAAGGATATTATTAAATTTATTTTTTTCTGGACTACAGGCATTGTTCCAATTTCTCTGATGTTATTATTTTTCAAATCAAATAAAAAATCAACTTGAAAAAAAGATAATTAAAATGAACCAGTTGATGTTGTCATTTTAAATATCTTGCCCATTTAACTAATTTGTTATTTTGCATTGTACACTGCAGTTTGTCAGAAGACTAGCTCAGTTTAATGCATTTGATTTTCTTGAGGTATTTGTCTGAATTAGAATATTAGATACTTAATGCCCAGCATATCCTACTGATCGCTGCACCTGCCTCTGAGTCATTCACTTCCTCTGGTGTGCAATAGGTTTTATGCAGTGCTTTATTACTCCTGTTCTTGCTGTTAAATTAAGCACTAAACTTAGAATGCACATACACTAAAATAATTGTAATAAATTTTCAACCAGTTTAATGTAAAAATGTAAAGCCAAACTCATATACATTGCCTTTAATTTACAAAACCTTAGGCAGGTGTAATACATATGAAGATGTTGGTGCCTTCATGTTTCTCAGAAGCCAGCACCCTGCTTTTTTATTTTTTATTTCATTATACCTTTTAAAAGGGATGAGGTAAGGAAGTGTATCAGTCATCAACTATAAGTGGTCTCATTGTAATGAATCTGCAACTTGATCTGTACAGTGTGAAAGAACAGTGTTTTGCCATAAGCAATAAATCATTTAAATGTATATTTAATAATAAGTAAATTTATTCTTGTTTTTGCTGATTCAGATTTATAACTATGACATAAAATGTTTTATTTTCCCAAAATGTTTTAAGTTATTGCAATATTATCTTAACTGATAATGTATGCAGGTGTACATTTCAAACTATAAGATGCTGACTTTTAGAAGCCACTTACTAAAAAATAGGAACCTGTATTTAGTATAAATCTATATTATATAATTTAAGGCAAAATGAATAGGTTTTATTACAGAAACACTAGTTATAGTTGCCTGGTAGTTGTGAGACTATCAATCATTTTATTTGTAGTTGAGCAGAATCAAAGTTGATAGTATCTTTTAATGAATTTTTATAGGATCTGCAGTTAGAGAAAGTAACCTATCATCATTTGCCACGCTTATAGTTCTTTAATCATGTATAAGAGTATGGTCTTAGAAGAAGGTATTTTATACTAAATGTTGCTCACTTGCTATCCAGTTTTACATAATACTTGACTGTAATTTTTAAAAATTCTTTTATAGCAGTAACACCATCAATTATCTTTATATAGCCTTGACAAAATATGGCTTCTGTGGTTTTTTTCTTCTCTTTTTTGACTATGTGTTCATTTTAATAATAAATTTGTTTTTCTTTTTATATTTAGTATTAATTGCAAATATATAAGAATTTGCAGATTTCTTTTGGCATAGGTAGTAAATTATAATTACTTTCAGTTACCAAATTGACTACTTTCTATTATTTTATGCTGGTTTATTCTTTCATTATTTAACAAAGACCATATTTATTAATTATTTTTTCTCCTAAATTTTGAGACTTAGATATTTGATAACGTAGAATTCATGTTTTTGCATTAGGTTTTAAAATAAATGTTGAATTTCAAAAATTTAAGGTAAATTATTTTGGGATGAAAACAAAAAGATAGTATGATCATTTATTCATTGAGCAAATATTGAACACCTAATGTGCTAGTCACCATTTTAGACACTGATGTAAAACAGTACTTAAGGTTCATTTAAATTTTTGAGTGTTAAGTTTTGATATTAAATTACCAAGTGTTTGGAAGTAAGCAAAAATAAAAATTACTATTCTGTTCTCATTATTGTTGACTACTTAATCTTTAGGTAGCTTTTTATGATGGAGAGATACGAGTTTTAAAATCAGCAGACAAAATTCTAGTTATGGTTATGCCAATTCTATAGCATAACTTGGATCTTTCTGAGCCTCAGTTCCTCATGAAAACATGGAAAACAGAGGTTGGATCATTTATGCTTAGGGTTCTCCACTCAATGGTGTAGAAATGGAGAGCAGAGAGCAATTTATTCATATTCATACAGTCAGATCAGTTATATTCCCAGCTTTCTTTGCTGTCTCCTCTTCCTTTTTCCTCCCTGTGATTATTGCAGAGCCAGAGGACTCAGTTCTCTGATCTCATCCATTCTCTATTCTATCCTTATTCCCTGGGTGAGCTAATTTAACTTAATGGCGCCAGGCTCATGTTTGAATGCCCCCACTTGGTTGTAAATAGTAGTTCACACTTACCACATCTGAAACAGAACTCTTGATTTCCATCAGGAAAGCAGTGCGTTCTCAAGTGTTCTCCACCTTTGTCAATGACTTCACCTTCACAGAGTATTTAGGCCCCAAACCAAGAAGCACCCTTGCTTCTTTTCTGTTCTTCACACCAATCTTCCAGTCCATCGGCAGTTCTTGCCATTTCAACCTTTAAAACCCTAACCACTTCATACTTCCTCTGTCTCTATCATCTTAGTCAAAACCTCTTTCCTGGAGTATATCCTCTTCCTTCCCTTGCCTTTCTGTAGCTTGTTTTCCACATAGCAACCAGAGGAATTCTCTAAAAACAAGTCGTATAATGTTGTTTTCTTACTCAACACCTTCCGGTAGCTTCCTACAAAACTCTTTACCATGTCTCACAAGTTCTCTGACTTGATTTCCTGCTATTTTCCTTCTCACTCATTCCCCTTGAGCTATACAGACCTTTCTGTGTTTTGCCACCTGCTCTAGCTTGTTTCTACCTTGGCCTTAAAGCAAATTTAAAGACATTTTAAAAATTACCTTTTCCTGAAGTGTTCTTCCTTCAGATGTATATTGTTATTTATATACCTCAATCATTAAAATCAGAAATGTTTTAGAAAATGTATATTTTAAAATGTAACAGCTCACAAAAACCTGGTGTGGTTATGAGTGTATGGATCTGTGTTTAGAACCTAAAGATTACTATTAATAATTAATAACAATGCAAACACACACATAAACACACACACCCCAAAAAACAAAACAAAAAACAAAACAAAAAACAGAAAGGATTTTGAGGCCTGCTGAGTTATAGAAAATGCCATCTGTGAAAAAGGTTGATATAAATATTTTATGAATGAACGCTATTTCCATTCATTATTAGGAAAAAGTCCTGGATGGAATTTAACATTGTCCTGGAAAGTTATTACAAATGCCTCCAAAGAACATTACAGAATTGCCACTTAGCATTAACTCAGGATTATATGAAAAAGACATTCCGCCTTATTATGAAATAACTGGTTTTTGAGAATTGAATATACATAGGCAAATGTTAGAAGATATTCTATAAGTGTGTGAAGTGTGATTGAAGACATATTCAACCATAATAAGTGTATGTATTACTGAAGACAAAATTTAACCATTTAGTATTACTTAGCAGTTCCTTTTGCTGGCACAGTTTTCAGATATTGTTGCCCATCTTAAAGTAAAATTGATTTCTGTTCTATAAAAATAGCTGATGGTTGTAAAATGCTTAATAGCCTACAAATGTTTATACACATTACTTCATTTAACCCTTGGAACAACCTTGTGTGAAGTAGGCACTATCATCCCTGCCTACAGAGGAGGAAGTGGAGACTTGGTTCATAGGAACTACCCTGAATCGCATAACCTGTAAACAGTGTTGGTGAATTCAGACTTAGGTCTTCTGATCCCGAAACCAGAGCCCCTTGCACAACATAATGCTCAGGTTGAACAAGCCAGATGAGAATAGGTCCGAGACACAGTGGCATCTCTCTCTGAAGCATCTGGGAAGAACTCTGTGTTCCTTCTTGACCTGAGTGATGGATGGACTAGAGCTAAGTGTCTTATGATGCTCAGCAGTCAGTAGCCAGGAACCTGATTGCAGTGGAGTCTGCTTACTATGACTGTCAGATTTTTCTTTGGATTCAGAAGAACCTTAAAAGTATCTTTTAGACATTACATAACACACACACACACACACACACACACACACACTTTATATTGTGTTATATATTTTATATACTATTTTACATTATATTTTTATATATGTAACGTATGACATTGACATTTTAAAAATAAAATATATTTATTTTAGGAATATGATATATTTTGTTTGTCTCATGCTGTCCTTCTCTAGAGTATAAGTCATGAGGAAAGAACTTTGGTTCACCACTCTATCTTTTCATCTAGAAATATGCCTGGCATCAGTAAATGTTGAAATCAAAAAGCAACTGCTGTGTACAGTATGGCGAGTGTAGTTAACAAGGAAAAGCAAATGCTTTTCTAAGAGAGGCTTATTGGGGTCTAATTGTCTGTGTGAGTTAGTGACTGTTCTAGTTTAATTAAAATAGTCATTAATTTTTAGTGACTGGAAAACTAGATCTTATTCTGATTTCTTTTCTTTCTTTTTCTTCAGGAAGAATCCTCAGCACAAGATAGAATATAGACATAGTACACTTCCAAGTAAGTAATTTTTCTTCAGGAAACTCAAAATGAAACCTTTAAATGAATCTCTTATTAAACCTATATACAGTTTCCAGTGATTATGAATTTTCCCCAAAATCTCTCCTGTGAATTTGTCAAATTGCTAATTTTAATGATTTTTATTAAATAAAAATGTAAGGATACAGCAAATATTTCCTACAATTATTGTATAACAATATATATTTGTCCTTGCATCTGTTAGGATTTTTTTCTTTGTAAGTACCTGAAAACAAAATTTCATTTTGGTCTAAACAGTACAGAGAACTTGCTCACTTCTATAATAGAAAAGTTCAAGTATAGGACTAGATAGACATAGTTTATGCTTTGGCTCATTAATATTGTTAATAATGTCACCAGTGGCCCAATTTCCTTCCAACATTCTGTCTTTAGAGAGGTCAGTATTATCCTGAGAGAGAGAGAGAGAGAGAGAGAGAGAGAGAGAGAGAGAGAGAGAAAGAGAGAGAGAGAGAGAGAGAGAGAGAGGGAGAGAGAGAGAGAGAGAGAGAACAACTTTGACTCTCACCATTCTAAGAAAAAAATCATAAAATTCACTTGTTTTTTACTAGCTTAGATCACATTCATTCTCTTGAACCATTCACTGTGCCACTGATTAATGTGTACCAGCCCTGGAACCAGGGTAGAGTCACCTCCTTCAGAACCACAGGGATCCCCAATATAAACTAAAATTTGGGGAGAAGGAGAAGAAAGAGGAATAGACACTAGACAACTATTAATGTCCGTCAGTCCTATTTACATCAGTCTGTTTGACCTTCTGTTTCCCCTCCTTCTGAACTGTAATATAACAAATTCTGGCTTATTTGTATCATTGGCAGAGGCCAGTTAAACGCACAATATTTCTGCCCACAGAGCGAGAGAATAAAATGCATACTTCCAGACTATGCCTACGTGTATTTGTATGTGTATAAACACAACCAACTTGTAACCAAGTGATAAAAATGATTAATTTCACCATTGGGGATTCCATTTGATGTTTCTGGCTGAAACGTACTTTAGTGTTTTACTACTCCAGAACCAGTATACTCACTTTATCTGAGGCAATATGTGTGGAGATTATATGTTATACCGTTTTTACTGAGGCTGTATCTAACGATGTAGCATTTATGGTTGTTAACTTTCCTTCCAGCAATAATGTAATAATCTTGATTAAAATTATATTTTATTGACAAAGTTTAGCATTTTCCTATGAAAAAAGTATTTGACACATCTGTGTATCTTCACAGAAATAGGAACCATTTTCATAAATACAATCAATATGTATCATATGGCATCATTAAAAATATTTGAATTTTCTTTGCAAAATCTCTTTGAAGTAAAAATATTTTTATTTCATTAGAAAGACTTTTTTTTAAAAAAGTACAGATATTATTAAGCAACATTCAGTCTTATGTTTTTAATGTACTTTCAAAGGCTCTGTGGCAACATAATTAGAATATCTCTTCCTACTCCAAAACCTACAAATTAAGGTATCTGGAGTATTTCAAATATTAATTTAAGTATTAAGGTCTCATATTTTTTAATTTAGTGCTATCTGACAGAATTATAACATACTTGTTTTCTTATTTCCCAATCTTTAAAGTTTAACATTACCCAAGATCTTAATCTCATTTATGTAATGTTCATTTACTCACACGTTCATTCATTTATTTATTATATGTCTAACAAGTGGGCAAAGTTACAGAGAGACAGGAAAACCAGCACTGAGTTGACTTGTTTGTGGTGAGATGCTCCAAAACCTGGGGTTATCAGGGTACACTAGAGGTGCGAATTTTAAGTTAATGTGGTCTTTAAGGTGGGAGGATTTCAGTCATCTTTGTTTCTTGGCTTGTGGTGAGTAGGTTTAGGACATCCCAGACACAGTGAATAATAGATCAATCAAGGACATCAAGGTAGAAAATGGTAAGTTGTGTTTGAGTTAGCAAGATTTCCCTTAGGAAACCGAGGTGATTCTTACGCTAATGAGAATTGTGCAGCTTACAACGTAGCTCCTTGTTAGCTACCAAGAAACTTGATACTCAAGTTATAATAATTATGTTAAAATTGAGATTGACATATATTTTACTTTTTATGTTTTTAAATTCTATTTGTATTTTTTAAATCACCTCTATTATTATTATAAGCTGTCTCAAATCCTCTCTGGAATGAGTAGTGATATTAAGAAAAATATAAATATCTATTTCGTGTGAACTTTAAGATAAGAAGAGATTAACTAAAGCATATGGAAAAACATGGACATTAATATTTCTTACCCATACATTTGCTTTTCACCACAGTGATTGTCCTCTGCTATTCAGAAGATTTCCAGATAGAATTGTCCTACTATATACATATAGATTTCAGAGAGGAAGGGTGAAGGAGAGAGACATAGAAACATCAATGATTATTGATCGGCCTCCTTCACGCTCCAAACTGGGGATTAAGTCTGCAACCCAGGCATATGCCTTGACCGGGAATTGAACCGTGAACTATTGGTTCATAAGTTGATGCTCAACCATTGAGCCACACTGGCTGAGCCTACTTGTTTCTTAAATGCTCCATATCTTCCCAGAGTCTTTCACTGCCTTACTTTAGACCAACTCTGATGCTCACTATGGAAGGAATATAAAACAGAGTGGGATGAGGGAAGAAATTAATTTGGAGATAAGAATTCTAGTATTATAATATTAATTAGAAATCTATAAATTCTAAATGCTGTTACCATAGTAATCTTATTTGTATAATGAACTCTAGAATATCATAGACTTATAAACTAAACTTTCCAAAAGTTTAGTATGTAAACTTTGTATCTTCTCATTTGATTACAGCCCTCATGCATCAGTCAGATTATGCTAGGTTTGCTGTGATAATCCCCAAATTTCAGTGCCTTACACAAACACGAGATGTATTTCTTCTTCACTTCCAGCTGCGTGTTGGCTATGGCCTTGTCCCAGCTCGGCGTTCAGGCTGGAGGATCAGCCCCTGCCTGGGACCCGCTGTTCTCACAGCCCAGGGGACATCATAATAGCAGAACCGCAGAAAGGCTCTGCAAGCTTCTCCTTGGAAGGCCACACACCACTTCCACCCACTTGTTTTGGCCAAGACTGGTGTCATTGGGGATGGAGAAGTATAATCATATCACAGGGAGGGGCAGTGAATAACTGGGACAGAAATACACTGTACCATCCCAGAAGGCAGGGTGGCCTGGATATGATTACGATATTATGAAGGAGCCATTATTATGAATCTCATAGGATATTTTAGTCTCAGGAGCCTCATGGTAGGAAAAGCTAGAAATAATAAATAGCAAGTAGTCATTTTAGTCCTCTTTCTAGAAGTGTGTAGTGATTAGCTATGTATTAGGTAAAATGAATTTTTCTTGACGGAGAAGGGCATTTAACAGTTAGCTATCTCTAATCCCAGGTTGAGTGGCAATTCATGTACCAAACTTCTGTTTTTCAGTCCGAAACACTGTGGATGACGACGAAGGGCAACCCAATGAGTACGACCTGAATGACAGCTTTCTAGATGACGAAGAAGAAGAGTATGAGCCCACGGATGAAGATTCTGACTGGGAACCTGGAAAGGAGGACGAAGAGAAGGAAGATATGGAAGAGCTTTTGAAAGAAGCAAAAACATTTATGAAAAGAAAAAAGTAACTTGGTTATGCAATAATACATGGCTCACATTTCCTATTTCTTTATGGAAAAATATTCAGAAACTAAGGAGGCACTTAAGCAATAATTGTTTTCCTTTCTATAGTTATGACTTTACTATTGACTACTGACTCTGCCAATGAAACATTGAAATGTCAACCTTCAGTGTAGTCTATGGAATTTTTTTTTTTTTTGCTTTGCTTTTTTTATTCTATTTAAAGCATCTAGAAGTGGAAAGTAGACAGAATTAAAGACAAGTAATTGATATTTTTCACGTGCTTTGTCTGCTGGTTATAAAAAGTAAAAAACCATAGGTTGCACAAAACTTTGGTCTTTTTTCCTATTTTCCAAAGATTCTGTCTTTATAGAATACTGTGCAGGTATAACCCGGCAAATTACATCATGATTGGAAAAGCATGCCTCTTTTCATTGCTATTGAAGTAACTCTTCAAGCAGAACCAGGCTTTAACATTTGACAGCCATCATATAATAGCTAGCATTTTTCTAGTATCCTAGATGCAAGTTTTGCATTTCATCAACTATTTTATTCTTTGAAACTTGGGGACATTAGTACCAAATGGATACTGAAAATAGACTCCATAAGACTATAGAAATGTTCACCATGCAGGGAATGTTACTTAGTGCCCCACATCTGTAATTTACTGTGTGTCTGAGTTTAAAGGTGGAAAAACTCAAAGAATTTGAGTTTCTTTCTTTTTCAAATGAAAATCCTGCCTGATTATTTTAACTTTCAATGTACTGTTTTTACATTAAGAATATAGAAATGATTTTTGACCATAATTTTCTCAAAGGACCTTAGTTCTTTCATCCTCAGATGAAGGTGGCAAGCTATCTGGCCTTTTATTTGTTCTCCAGTGTCATGAACTATGTCTCTGTATCTCTGTTCCCAAACTGCTTTAAGCCCAGTAATAATCTCATCTCTAGTGACTTAGAATTTTTGAAATACAGTGTAGCATCTTTAATAATAGTTGGGTATATGTATTGGAAATAATAAATCACTAAACCAAGTGTCCTTGTTAAACTAATATTTTCTATTCTATAAGAACCTAAAAATGTATATATTAAAAGAGCAACACAGATTTGTAATGGTTTTCTTTGTGTTTTAAATCTTTCCAAGATAACCCTGTGAGGCCTGTTGGGTGGTGAGTTTGGGAGTGGGAGGTGGAGAACATTATAAGGAAAGACAGGATGAACCAGCTGGTACCGCATCTTCACCCTTTACCAGGAATGAATCTTCTCACCTTCTCCTGGGGCCCCTTGGCATTCTCTGATGTTCACCCTCAGCCATAGACACTGAATGTCTGGGTTCTCTTGGATATCTAGGTGCTTGGACTCCTGCACTGTGTCAGCATCATTAGGGCAGCAGGTGAACACCAGAGCGTTGCTGTTCTGTGTATTGTAACAGGGCAAGGGGAAAAGCCAGGTTTTCATCTCATGGTCCTGCCCCCTGGATAAGGAAATGGGTGAAGAATGTGAGCTCATTATGACTCTGAACAATCCCCATCCCAGTGCTCACGTGGGAAGTCCAAAATATTTCCTAATTGTGTCACGGCCAGCTTAATGCAAGTATAGCATTGGAATTCATCTCTTCTGTTTTGAAAGAGAAATTTATTCCAAAACTGAGATGAAGCAAAATGTGTGCCCAGCTGCAAAAACTCACCTTTCTTTGATGGTGTTGATAACTGAGTGCTAACTGACAGGAGATAAAACCGTGTTGCAGGTGTGACTAATAGCCACAAAGCAACCTGCCTGCCATCTTCTCCTAAGATGTAGCACTTGTTTCTGATTTGAGGTTGACATCTCAAGATGGCACCAATCATCCAGACCTACATAACCACATGCCGCCTGATGCAGAGAGGGCCCTTTTGTGACTTAGCAGATTTACTGATGTGTGAAATAAGCAAGTGTCTGGAATTAGTAGTCTGGACATTTATGTAAACGTCCCCTACTCAAGGGTACATGTTTATTCTCCCCAAGCTTTGTTTTTCAAACTGGCACCCTAGCTGTGGTCTCCCTAAACCAGTAAAAAATCACACCCAAGACATTTCATTTTAACAACACCGAAATATCACTCCTATCAGAATGATAGTGTTAAGAATGAAATTCCACTCAACACACCATCATGCCCTGACAGTCACCTCCAGTTCGCTTTAAAACACTTCTGAAGTTTCCTGGGTGGAGGCTGGCCATTCCCGACAAGTCCATGTCCAGGAGGGGACCTCTAGGCCCTGTCCCGGCTCCATGAGCCTGCCTTTCTGACCTAATCCAGGGGGAGCTCAGCCCCCAGCCAGGCCCATCAGGTGCTCCTTCAGGGAACCTGCTCAGCCTATGGACAGACAGGAGGAGTTGCAGCTGGGGTGCCGGGCCCTCCAGCACTCTGGAGAGCAGGTCCCCAAGACTCCATTGCTGAGGCCTCAGAGGTGTCTCGTGACGGGTCAACGTTTCCTTTCTCTGAACTACCCCAGGATCTATGTTTATTTTCCTTTAGCTAGTCAGAATTGATTGTTACATCCAGCAAAAAGAAAAGAAGAACGTTGAATTATTACACTACAGTAGAAATTATGATTGAGCTATGTAATCAACACTACAGTTTTCATTTTAATTAAGGAAATGTTAGTGTTAACTTATGATCTTTCTTTTTTCTCCAAAAGTCAGTAATTAAGTAGGCAGGCAGAGGTAGAAATGTTGAAAAGTCAGTGTTTACCTTTTTAAGACATCTGATATAATGTTGTAGCAAGAATTTCTGGCATTTTGCCGAGTAATGAGTCTCCAAGTTCATTCTATTCGACAAGTGCTAATTCAATGTTCCCTAAGTTCTAATATGAATAGGGACTTCTTAAAAGGAAAAAGTTCTTGTAGATCTCCCGGCCCCAGTGTGTGGAGTGCTACACCAGCATTTATTGAGCTTATTTTTAGAGATTTAAGTTATAAGTTTAAACTGCCACAGTTGGGGGTGAAAAAAATTGTGACTAATTTATTATAAAACATTAAATGAAAATCTATAAGTACATAGAGATACTACTCATAATGCTTTTTTAAAGCAAAAGTAAGAAAAGACTGATTTTTACTAACTCCTTACTCTGGAAAATTTTAACAAACATATTCTGCCTTTAAGAAACTGTATTTCATCCTCAGTAGATGAGGGAATATTTTTTAAAAATATGTATTTATTGATTTCAGAGAAGAAGAGAGAGGGAGAGAGCAAGAAACATCAATGATGAGAATCATTGATTGGCTGCCTTTTGCATACCCCTGCTGGGGATCAGGCCCGAAACCTGGCATGTGCCCTCACCAGGAATCAAACAATGACCTCCTGGTTCATAGGTCAATACTCAACCATTGAGCCACACCTACTGGGCAGAAATATTTTTAAGGTAGAATGCCAGCTAATAAATGGAGAAGGAATGAGAGAATGAGGAAATCACCATTTTCTAACCCCACAATGTAATAATTTATTCAGGCAAGGATCATTAATAGACCTTGAAAAATATCATCCCCCAGATAAATTACAAATGAGAAAACATAGCTTTACGTTAGAGAGGTCAGGTGTCACCTGTCAATAGTGGATGGTCTGGCTTTAGGTGCTTCTTAAAGTAATGTTCTTGCCAAAGTGTTTCACTACTAGTAAGTTTAATCAAGCCTTTGACCCTAACTCTCAGGAAAGAAGAAATATAGTAGATAGAGGAGCATAGTAAGTGACACCACAGCAAAATATAATCAGATAAATACAAAATGTGAGCAGTTCTACCTGATCTCTTAAAAAAGACAATGTTCTAAAAAAATAAATGAGGAACCCTCTAGACTTAAAGAGAATAAAAATCATAACTACTCCATGTAATGCATGAATCTGAATTTGATCCTTGTTTGGAAATAAACCAGCTCTAAAAGATATTTTTAGGACTATTGGAGAAATTTGAATATGAATTGGATATTAGACAATGTTAGGAAATTATTGTTCATTTCCTGGGCTATGATTAAAGTATTTTGATTTTGAGGGAGAATATTCTCTTGTAGGAGACACAAGCTGAGGTGTTTATAGCTGAAATAGCATAATATTTTTATCTTATTTCCATTTGGTGCCATTTATACACACAAACACAGATAATGCAGATATGGCAAAAATATTAATTGTTTAATTTAGATCATGGGTATCCAAGTATTCATTATACTATTATTATAACTTTTCTGAGCGTTTGAAAAAAATGTTTAAATCTCAGAACAAAATAAAGGAAAACATGGGGATGATTTTTTTTAAAGAAGATGCATAGCTCTGTCCAAGTTATTCTGAAAACAAAAGAACCCTATGTTAAAAATATTGATTATTTCAAGTTGACCTCATTCTTTTAAAATTTTAATTTTGCTTGTGTTTTAAAGTGCATATAATATATTAATATCGTGGTGCATGTGAAAACCTTGTGCCAGGTATTTACATAAATACTTGATATGGGGAAATACACATGCTCAAAATTTTCTTGCTCCCGCAGTGTACAATAAAAATTATTTGGAGACCACTTCCATGCCTACCATGTCTCATGTTTCCAGGTCAACTTTTGAACTGCTACCAAGGCAGGTAGAACAACCAACCAGGCTACAGGTTTGTAGAGCAGAGAGAATTCATTCATACAAGAATACAAGAACCTAGGTGGGGACAGCCCTCTCCCCCTGACTCAGGGGGCTGCCTGATCACACCTTTCCTTGTGTCTTGGGTGGTTGTGACATATAGACTCTTTCTTCTCTGACATGAACCCCAGAGCCCAAGTGCCTGGACTACTGAGAATGGAGTTCTGTTTCTGGTCCAGGAAAGAAATTAGGATATTGGAGGGGGCAGGGGGCAAGAAGAGAGCAGGGGATTGCCTGGGAGTCAGGTGTCATTCCTTTCCTAAAATACCCTCAACAGACTTCCATAGCCAACAGGAGCCTTTCCCAAATGGAATACTGATTCTGTAGGATGCTTATAGGTGAGACTCAAAAAGGAATACAATGATGAAGTTTGTGAAAAGCAAATTTGCACCATGAATCTTCAAAATGGGGTTTATAGTATTTACTGTTTCTAAAACTTATATAAACATGATTTTTTTTCTAGAAATTCTGTAATGTTCATTCACTCCTTCATTCAACAAATATAGTTTAGTAGTTATAACTGTGGCAGACATTGTTCTTGTCACGGTAGATGCAGAAATGAATAAGATGATATTTTTTCCCAAATGGAGCTTATCCTATATAATAAAAGGCTAATATGCAAATAGACCAAATAGCGGAACAACTGAACAACAGAACAACCGAACAGTTGCTATGATATGCGCTGACCACCAGGGGCATGTGCAGAACATGGCGGGCATTGGCTGCAGTGGGATGGTGGAGCAGGTGAGTGGGGGCACCAGACCAAGGTGGGGCACCAGTTGCTGTCATAAGGGTGAGCTTCTGGTGGTTACTGAAAATTCTTTGCTCCTGTGTGCCATGGTACCACCGAGCACTCACACCTGCTGCCGGCACCAGCCCTGCTTGCACCTGCTGCCGGCACCAGAGCCGCCACTCACACCCACTGCCAGCTTGCACCCATTGCCAGTGCCCAGCACCAGTCCCGATCACTTGGCGCCATCAGTGGGTGCGAGCGGCAGCTGCTGGCCTGATCGCCCCTGAGGGCTTCTCCACCTCCCCCTGCTACTGAGGGGCGACTGGGGCAGCAGCTGCTGCTTGCACCCACTGATGGCGTCAGCCCCAATTGCTCTATGCCGTCAGCAGGTGTGAGTGGCAGCAGCAGGAGCGGGGCTGCCAGCAAACGGGACTGGGGCCATGGAGAGAGGGGATAGGCAGTGTTGCAGAGGATGGGCTGAGACCTGCCCCTGTGCCTATCCCAGCCTCATGGCCCACAGTTCCTTTCAAGATTCACAAATTCGTGCACTGTGCCCCTAGTACTGAGATAACAGCAAATAAGCCAAGAAAACAGTGACTATGATAGTAGTGTAGTAAGTGCTATAAAAATAAAACAGGGGAAAGAGAGTGGGTGA